GCGCGCTGCGCTACGAACCAGGCGTCCCGGGTTCGATTCCTGCTCACGACCAACACCAGTGACGATTATGTGAACCGCTCCTGGGCCTCCCCTAGGTCGAATCGGCCTTAAATGAGTACCTGTTGCGATGTGTAAACATCGCCATTAGGGCGACAAAGGCAGCCGGGCGTGGTGCTGACCACTCACCCCCTAATGTGCCGTACCGGCCTACATAGGTGCTTACTAACAGCACTTGCCCCAACAGTCTGTTAAGGCTATATGGGGGATCTTTGTCTCGTGTTAAACTTCTTTCACATTTTACATCGTCAACCATGTTTTTGGCATGGCACGCAACATGCTGGATTATGAGAGGCGCTTCCAAATTCTTCTTTGAAACACTGGGGAAAGAGTGTCTTGTACCACAGAGAATACGGTAACGCTCACCTACCCCCCCCCCACAACCCCTTTGCAAAGCCGGAGCAGGTGGAGTTCACGTATATGTTGTACGTTTTTGAGAGAGTATATACGGAAAGATGTGTTTTTTTATTTTAACTTGTACGCATATGGCCATATACCGTCTTTTATTTGAGTGTGTACTTGTGTGTGTGTGTATGATTCAATGTGTGTATTGTGTATGCGTATATGAACGGATTGGTGGTACACGGGTGTGCGGTATAAAAAATATACAAATTTCGCAATCATTTTTTATTTTCCTGCGATTTGCAACCACCGGTCAGAAAATCTTGTGGGGGTGGTGGTGCGTCAAAATCACTTCTCGCGATGTCAAAGCAGTCGGAAGGCGATTGTCCATTCAAATTTTGATTGTAGGCTGTTGATGAGGACCGCTGTGTTATGCTGCACCGGTGTACCACCAATACATCCATAAATTGTGTGTATATATATGTGAATATGCATTTAACTAATATGCTAATGTACTTCATGTGTCAACTATATGTCTATATATATTTATCCTTGTATAATTGGTAACTTTGCTGAAAGTGCGTCTCCTTAAATCTCCTTCTGACATAAAATTGGCTACTTCCTGCAATCTCAGTGCAGCTGTTCCATGTTTGTAAAATATATTGTAAAGATCTTCGTTGATGTTAGGCCTTGGTTTGTGAGAGCTTGGATGACCTGCACTGCCATCGTCGACACATGTTAGGCCACGGAGGCGAGATGTTCACTTCCTCGCCTGGCATACAGGAGGTCCTGGGTTCGATCCCGACCCTGACGCCTGCTGTATATTTGGAGTTTGCATGTCTCTCTCCCTGTGATCGTATTGATTTTTAAATCCTTTATATTAAGTTTACTTGCTTGCTTGCTTACGACCGTGCAAATCTTTCGGTCGTTTTTTAACCCACTTCCCGTGATCCAATCGAGCTGACATTTTGCACACAGACTCGTTGTGCGTGACAATTAATTTTCGTGAATTTTTTTTTCCTAAATTTTACACTGTTTATGGAAAAATAAATAAATATTTAATTACCAAATTCCTTAATGGTGGCAGACAATCATCTGACCCATAGGTGGCAGCCATCTCAAGGACGAGAGGACTATAGCCGCCCCGATGCCATGCATATAAAGGATTTATAGTGAAAAACTTTGTTTTTACGGGTTAATTTTTTTCTCCGGTTCCTACGGTTTTTACCCGCCACATTTAGAATGTTTAGCTGCAATACATTTCAATCATGATAGGCCACTTCGTTGAGTTATGTTTTGTGTCCAGGTCACTTCTGAAAAATAGCTATATTAGTCAGGGGGCCTTATCTGGTAAAAAAAAGTTTATAGTTTATTTGACAGTCATTCTTCGTTTGAGCATGTAAACACTTTTTGATTTAAAGCTTTGTGACTGCAGAGATTCATATTCTTGGTTCTTTCGGTACGTGACTTTACCCGAAAGAACCAAGAACATGTAAACACTGCGTATTTTTATTTATCGTATGTGTGTATATTATGTATCTACACTCTGTTCATATAAAAACAAAACTGTCCTGTGTATATATGTATAATAAATGCAGTAATAATGTATAACATCACATGCAGCACGGGTACACCCACTGATATAGGGCAGGTGACTTGATTAGAATGCAGCGGAGCCCAGACGCAGTCGCGTAATATCAATCAAAGGCAGCTTGGCTTCTAAATGATGGAAATAACCATGGCTCCCATGCACGATCCGCTTCATATAGAGGAGGGCAGGGAAATGTTTACACCTTTTTCTATTTAAAGCTTTCGTGACTGCAGGGATTAATTTCCTTGGTTCTTTCGGTAAAGTCACGTAGAAGGGAAATAATAAAATAATAATAATTTAACATAATAAAATACAATTCTCCCGACGTTTCGGCCACAACGCAAGCAGCCGTCCTCAGGTGAAGAACAGGTCTGTCGGAAAGACAGCGTCTGAATGAACACCAAGCTTGGCAGCGTATATTTAAGCTGGGTTAGGGGAGGAAGGGCGCCTTGACAAATGCAAATGCCTTCTCAATACTGATCAGTGTGGGTTGGTCCACATTACTCCGATATCAGGATCGGTTCCCGATACCACCCGCCACTGATGTTGGTCGTGGTCAAGAATCGCTGCGAGTTGCCTAAGTCAAACCAGACCGTGTTAAAAATGTACGCTTCAATGTCATTTCCCTTGGCATTTACATCAAGTCTGCCAAAGTAAAGAAACTCGTCGAATATCCTGCAAGCATGGGGAGAAATATATCAAGCCGTGCTACGCGGTGGCCTTGTTTTAAGATGGCACGGTGTTCATTCGAATGCATGGGCTTTTGCACTGTTGGCATAAAAAATGAGGTCTTGTGTTTTTCAATGTGTAAATGGTTCCCCCCCCCCCCCCAGAAACTAATTCAATTTGCTTTCGAATGTGTGCTCGAGTTTGGCAAAAAAAAACAAGCAAGGAGGTGAATTGTGTTGCTGTGGTTATTACAATTCTTATGGTATCTGGTTACATTACATAATGAGCGCACGTGGAATACTGTAATCAAAACTACACCAGTCGCACTTCCCCCAAAATATTTCATTACATCTGAGAATAACATTAATTTTGGCCGTTTAAAATCAATAACAAGATTCATGTTTAAATAGTTAAAGGTTTTGCAAGTTTTATTGTCGGTGACATTTTATATGCATAGATAAAAAAAAACATTTTCAATGCGATGTGCATCAGTGCTTGTAACAAAAAACGAATGTTTCTGATTCAAGACAGGCAGTTGAATTTGATATATTTGACATTTATTATTTTGTTTAATTTGTAGTCATGTCACAAAATCTGAACCAAGCACTACATTTTTCAAACGTGAAGTAATCTTGAAAGCAAATCATACAGCTCATATAATTGAAGTCAAGAGACTTAGGTAAACTCAAGAAACTTTTCAAGGACATCTGCAAGTGTGATCTCAAATGCTTTAAAAACCACCGTCGATGAGTGGGAATCTCTGGCAAGACACAGTGGAAACTGGCCGCAGCAGACTCTGGGTATGCGGTTGGAACTGCGACGTGAGATGGTCTCAGTGGTTCATATTCTTAGGTTTTTTCGGTAAAGTCACGTAGGTAAAACATTAAAATTAATAAAAGTAAAATAAAATAAAAATCACGACGTTTCGGAGGCAACACAAGCTTCCGTATTGATACAGCTGTCGTGGCTGTGACGGTTCCACCTGAAGACGGAAGCTTGTGTTGCCTCCGAAACGTCGTGATTTTTATTTTATTTTACTTTTATTAATTTTAATGTTTTACCTACGTGACTTTACCGAAAAAACCTAAGAATATGAATCCTTGCAGTCACGAAAGCTTCAAATCTAGAATGGTCTCAGTGGCTTCTGGACAAGGGCCGCCCACATACACAGCAGGACAACACCAGCCTTGGCAGTCAGAACGTCGGCCATGACAGTACCAGAGTCACGAGTACAGATCAGTTATCGGAATCTTTATTTTCCTGGAGGAATCTGATGAGCTATAAAGCTCTTTTGGACAGATGTCCAGTAGGGGCTGGTCAGAATGTTACAACAATAAACAGTGCACAAATTCTATAGAAGTTCAAAGTATAGGAAATGTAAGAAAATCACTAAAATAATATACAAATAAAACGAAATTTTCTTTTACCAGGTTCAGCTCACTGAGCTATTAGCTTCTTTTTCAGAAAAGACCTGACCACAAATGATCGCTCAATGAAGTGGCTTATCGTGTGGAAATTTATAGCGGCAAAATTCCAGAATCGTCATTTTCAGTCATTGCAGGAAATGTTCGAATAATGTAAACAATTTTCTAAAAAGTTAACACTGAAAACTCATTGTCTTCCCTGGACGACGGAGAAAAGGACGATGCCATAGACAACCAGAGTCAATGATTAGCCAGTGTGTGGAATTAATAATGGCTTGCATGCGATCATACTGACTGCTGTTTTTAGGTACAGCTCTATGTCAGTTCACTGCTAGACAAGGTCTTGCCCGTGCCCTGTGAGTGTGTGGCAGTTATTCTACCATACTTAAAAGGGAAGGCCCAGGACTGGTTCAGACATAACTCTTCACTGGTCTTGGTCAAGAGATGTAATGATACTCAAATTAATGGGATGACCTCCCCACCTCACAATATACAATACAGTACTTAATATCTCGTGCCGTTTTTGGTTATTTCCGCAGGGTTTGCTGATAACCATAGCGGTTAGCTCTGAAAATGACACTGATGGGTGTAGTAATAATGTGTTATGTTACCATTACAATGACATGGTGTGAAGACAGTCATTGTTCTGAATCAGGCAAGTTATGCTCATCCATGTGCAGTCTGCATGCTGAACCATATCATGCTATGCAGAATATGAAATGTGTTTAACTTTAACGAGGACTGACATTTTAAACCAGTTAAGCTTTTAATGCCATGCCGTATGCCAAGATGATCAGTCTGTTACATTTACAATTTAATTAAAATTACGGTTTAGGCGAAAATACCATTACAAAATTACACACGTCCTCCGGCTCGGGACGTTACTTATTCTGTCTTCCTGCTGTGTCCTCTTGCAGCTGACCAAAGCTCATCGGCAGGGACACATGGTCAAGGTGGACTGGCTGGACCGCCTTACTTTCCGTGAAATTGAGATGATTAATGAGGTATTTTATCACCACCCCAACATCGTTGTTGTCATCGGTCTCATTTTCGTCGTTGTCATGACTTTCATTTTCAGCGCCACCGTTACTCATCCCGTCGGTCACCTTCGCCGAGGTGGCCAGGTGGCTCAGGTCAAGGAGCAGAGCCGGCACTGCAGATGTACAGTGATCCCTCGTTTATCGCGGTTAATGGGGACCGGAACCCCTCGCGATAGGTGAAAATCCGCGAAGTAGGATTGGCCCCCTAGGAATTTCCGTTCCGTATATGTGTGTGTGGGTACCAGAATGTTTAAAATATGTATATTTATACTTTATATATATTTTTTACTTAAATCAATTTAATTATAAAACCTTAATATTATACATTCACTCTCTCATACGATACGTATTATGGTGTTCTACACTCACCAATGACAATAGTATCTTGAGACTTGACTCCAGTAATGACGACGACGACGATGACAATGACGACGATGACAGACCTGTGCAGTCGATGAATGTGATGATGAATGATGATGATGATGGTGTTACTGCACAGGTATAATGAGGCCTTTAAATCAATTCGAAAAATCCGCGATGCACTGAGGCCGCGAAACTTGAACCGCGAAGTGGCGAAGGATTGCTGTACTGGGTTCTTATCTGGCTTTCAACCAGCCCAGCTGACGATTAAACCGGATTCTCAAGTGTAGCGAGTTGACTGCAGATTCCAGCTCGTGAGAATAATTTCGTTGACCAGTTTTACTGCCATGTAACAAACGTATCTCGATGTTTGTGTCATGTGGGACGGAGCTTGCGAATGGAGATCACGAACGTCACTTGAAGGGCTCTGCGATAAGTCGTTCTGCTATCTACTGGCATGGACCATTCCCTACCATGGGTGATGCGCTGCTATGCAAGAGCTCTGAATGGATGCTTTGTCGTACGACATGACGCGGATGGCATAAATGGAATAGAATTGGGAAAACAACATTAAAAACAAATCACCTCCTAGATTTCCGCGGTTGTCAATCAGGCTTGTTCTTAATTGTTCTTGTGCACCACTGCCAAAGCAGAGTATCACCAAAGAGCGCTCTTCTTAAGTTCTCTGCCCAACCTCTCTCCATCCCACGGGACCCCCGCTTGTGAACCTTCACCCTACACCTCGCAACACCGCACTCCACACTAGGTTCCTGAGCCAAGATGATGGGAGGTTGAGGTGGTTAAGGCGATGTCCCCTCCTGAGCTGTAACGATGGAAGGTTGAGGTGGTTGAGGTGGTGTTCCCTCCTGAGCCATGGCAATGGAAGGTTGAGGTGGCTGAGGTGCAGTCCCATCCTGAGCTGTGACGAAGGAAGGTTGAGGTGGTTGAGATGCTGTCCCCCCCTGAGCTGTGACGATGGGAGGTTGAGGTGGTTGAGATGCTGTCCCCTCCTGAGCTGTGACGATGGAAGGTTGAGGTGGTTGAGATGCTGTCCCCTCCTGAGCCATGACGATGGGAGGTTGAGGTGGTGTTCCCTCCTGAGCCATGTATTTATTTTTAGGTGACACCGTCGCTGGGATTCGGTTTAACGTCACACAAGGATCACATCGGTTCTCGCCATCATTGTTCATTTCACCAGCATCCTCATGACTCTCTTGCCACAACCCTTTGTTGGAGATGCCAAGGTGGTGCTAATCTTGAGACGTTGAGCCATGTTTAACATGACCTCAGGATCTCACAACCACGCAACTATGTACATGTCCAGCCCATTTTGTCAATCCACTGCTGGATGAGGGCCTCCCCATGCCGTGCGGGTCGTACAGGTTATTTGACCATGCCAAGGTGCTGGCCAGCGCTGGTTGGGGAGCTTTGATATGGGAGCCATAGCAAGTAGAGCACAACAGTTGATTTGGCTGCCCTTGCCTTTGTTGCCCACAATGTAGATCCATAGCCTATACTACCTGTTATGCACGTTGGTCTCCCACATCCGAGCTCTACCGAGGCTCCGTCGTGCTTCGCTTCTAAGATCATCGGCTGTCCAGCCGTACCCTGTAATTATTTGCTATTGTTGCCGCCATCCACTATAGCATGGCATTGCAGTGCATGTGACCTGATTACGTTTCTGATGTGCGTTGTTCATCGGCAGAAGGAGAAAAGGAACTCGAACTTCATGTACCTGATGGTGGAGTTTCCTCGAGTGGTGTTCGAAGACACGGAGTACGCTGTTGTGTACTACGAGAAGGTGAGATGGCTAATTCCGGCCTCCTGTCACAGAGAGATGGGGGGAGCGGCAGTGGTGGGGGGGTGGTGGGGCTGGGCCCTGTCACCTTGTTAAATACAGCAAATTGAGAGGCTGATTGATGAGAGCTTTCAACGGTGACAATAGCTGCATTGCCTGTTCCTGTGAAATACAACTGCTGCGGGTTAATGAAAACTGTAATTGCGAGTCACAGCAATCAGTTGTGAAGTGAGTCATTGGTTTTGCATCAATCATCAGGTGGTTCGGTCGGAAAGTGACAACGGTACTTGGCACCCGTATGAATTGAGTGGGTCAGCGAGTCAATTGGTCCACGGGGGGAATGTGCGAGGCTGTGAAATGTGCTCTAGTGTTAAGTGTCTGCATGTCAGTTGTAGAAATTTAACATCGAGGGTAACAGGAAGGAATGTAACTGTTTTTTGTACATTTCAAAATGTGTTTAAATTTAGGAGTAATACTTTAAACATGATTTCTAAATCATGGCACTAAACAAGAAATATAAGCCAGTGGTATGCTCTGAACCACATGAGCTCGGAGGGAATTTTGACATTCTTTTTTTGACTGGATTTTTTTTGTAACGTGATCTTGCATGAGTTCACAAGAGATTTTTTAAGACAGCATTGCACCCACGCAGCTAATACCATGGATTGTTTATTCCGAACTCATTAGCATTAGATGGGCACATTCTTGGTCTGCAGTAGATTTACACAAATCAGTTTGCTTTGCAATACGAAAAAGGCTATGTATGTATGTATGTTGAACTTCTTTCGCACCGCACGTAAGCCAACTGCCCTAATCGGAGGTGCGGGGAAAGGACAATAAACTAAACACAAAAAGCAGTTCTAAAGAAATTAGTTTCAGCATAGATTTAAAAGTGCATAGCTCCAGTGGCTAGATGACATTGAAAGGAAGAGCGTTCCAGACGGCCACAGAAGCGCATCTGAAAGCGCGCAATGCAGTGACCATCTTTGACGGCCAGCTAAAAGCTGCTGCTAATGCCAGGATGACCGGAGTTCGCGTGATGGTTTATGCTCCTTGGCAAGATCAGCGAGGTATCGTGGTTATCCATGCGATGTCATCCTCCTTGTAGCTAAGAGTAATGTGTCGATCAGGTCAATAACAGAAAACCAAATTTGGGCCACAGAGTCAGACACAGAGTCACGATTCACTGCGCTTGAGTGGACACTCCGTTGGCTTTTTACCAATACCCGTTCTTTTTTAGATGGCGTACAACTTTGTAGTTAATTATTTCAAACAAATAGCGGATAGATCTCCGGATGTGCGTGCATTTAATTTAGAAGAAAACTAATTTTGGGAGGTAGTATTGTTTAATTTCTAAATTGGCAATTGTGGAGAAAAAGTTTGCACAGTGTAGATTTTGCTCGCGATCAACTATGTAAAATTAAATAAATTGATCTTCATTTTGTACCTCTCTTTTAGAATTAAATATTGTTCATCTCTTGACCTATTCGCCTTCTTGATTTGAATTAATTTACTTAACACTCATTAATAAACATGTTCAGATGTTTAATATCGTTTTTTAGCAATTATATACATTCTTATACGTATATGGCAATAAGTTCAGGAGCTAAATTCCATTAAATAATATATACACCGCAGTGGATATGGTGCTTGAGAGAGTTATGCAAACTGGGCTGGTGTCGACTTCTGGGTCTCATCAGTAGAGTGTGGTATGTTAAACAAATACACCTGGTTTGCCACATATTATACGGAGGAACACTCCCATTAAAGCATGAATGTTTCCCAACATTTTTGGACCCACAGACCACCGCCAAACCCTCATTCTCACGCACCTCCGATTAGCACGGTTGGCTACGTACGGTGCGAAAGAAGTTCAACATTACATACATACATACAATAATGTACACTTCGAAATTTAAACAATTCTGCAACAGTTCCATGGACCACTTCCAACGGCGTTGAACATCGCCAGTGGTTCGGGGACTACTACTCTACTGTCGAATCAATAATATACATTGTACAAAAAAAACGTCCTCCGAACTGTTGTGGAGCATTAGGAACAGTACATAAATAGCTGAGAATGATTTATATATTTCAACAATCTGGAATACTCCATAACAGTGGCTAATTCGTCTATATATTTTTTGTTAATACATTCAAATTTCCGACAACGTTTAGCGCTCTGGTAATATCCAAAGTAATTTTCCGGGCGGCAGCAGAGGGTCGTCCATCTAACTCGGAGGTCGGCAACATGCTACTTCGGAGCCACACACGGCTCTTCAAGGCCCTCTTCGTGAAGTTATTTATTAGAGACCACCACCGTCTCGTCATCCCGTGCATTGCGGCTCTTGCAATATTGAGGGGTTTTTTTATTGAATTCGTAAAAAAAATGCCTCTACTTGTTATTTTGGTCGCTGACCTCCCTGATTGGACTTGTGCAAGCTGGCTGTTTGCTTGATAACCCATTTTATTGTTCGGCTCCAGCTGGCTTCAAACGTGTCTTTTGTTTTCTGTTAAATGTAGGAGGGTGACGAGGTGGACGAGGTTTTGCTGAACCCGGAGATTGTCAAAGTTCCTGATCCGCAGATGTCTCTGGTAAGCAACCTAAGCATGCAGTACATCCTCATTGTGGAGTGCTTGGAGGTCTTCGTCTGTCATTGCAGCTGATCTCCAATGTGGATTTCTTCATGTCAACATTGATGAGCCAGTGGAATGGCTTCAGGAAGCTGCCTGGTAAATCTCTGAAACGCAGCCGCCAAATGATGGAAGCGGGCAGCGACGATGTACTCTGCAGTCCATGGTTCGGGGTATCGACTTGCAATGGAGACTCGTAGACCGACATAGAGACCCGAGTTGACACATCGACATTTTTTTATGCACTCATGTCGAGGTTGGTCAGCCAGCGGACGGCTTCAGCAGTAGCCAGGTGATTATACTCTTTGGTTCTTTCGGTAAAGTCACGTAGATGAAAATAATAAAATGAAAATATCGAAAATTTTAATTTTTCATCTACGTGACTTTACCGAAAGAACCAAAGAGTATGGATCCTTGCAGTCACGAAAACTTCAAATCTAGAACCAGGTGAATATGTTAAATGTTCATCGGTGTAGGTGATGGCCAGGTCCACCACACAATGTTCTGATACGATTCAGGACAAGAACGTTAGTTACGGGGTCAATTGACACCGGGGAGGTTTCTTTTGTTCTTCCGCACCTCCAATTAGCAGAATTGGCTGCATACGGTGTGAAAGAAGTTCAACATACATACACAGATAGTGTGCGGTCAGTGACTAAAGTGCCCCGGTTTAGAGGTGATGCCTATAAAACATTTGAAACATGCTTCATTCGCCCCCCTCCGTCCAATTCCGGTCTGTCTACGCACGTGCGTCCCACTCACCCGCTAGCCATAGAGTTCGCCCTCTGCCTGCATCTTGCACCCCTACCGCAACACTTCCCATCATTAGAGCACCCTCCCCAATCCACCCAGTCGCACACACACACACTCAAAAGAGTTGCACTCGACACGAGCCAAAGCAAAAACCCCCCACTCTTTTAACTCGTACACCTGCTGTGTCACATGTTCTACCGAATAATGAAAGTTATAAAAAAAACGCGTTAAAAACGTTCTTCTTTGTTTTATGTAATTCAGCAGAGTTAATTACATTGCACATGTAAGTTTTTCGAGACCAATATTATGATTGTGTCTCACATTTTAACTCGCGCCATCTGACACAAAAATCTATCATGAATCTTAATTACATTGTATTCTGGCCAATTATGCTAATACAGACATGAAGCCTGGTTCGGGCTGAGTGCCTTTGGGTGCGATTGCTTGGCCCCCTAAGTAGCCTCGTTGCTTGTCGTTGACTTTTGAATTGGCTTTGACTTTCAATTTATTTGGCCTCATCCTTTCCACAGTGAGAAGGCCCCACCGGATTGGCCCTGAACATGTGGTGGAATTTGTTGATTTCTAGACGATGTTTAGGAAAATGTAGTTGATAGTGTGTTCTTCTGGGTAGAATTTATCTGATCCACAAACATCTGTTTTGCTGGTGGTAGTGGTACCGATGTCATTGCTGGTGGTGCTTTTGGTGGGGGTGCTGCTGGTGGTGGTGATGGTGCTAATGATGGTTCGATTCCCGCTCATGGCCAACACCAATGACGTTTATCTGAACTTGTCCTCGGCCTCCCCTAGGCCGATTCAGCTTAAAATTAGTACCTGGTGCGATGTGTAAAACATCTCCACTCGGGAGACAAAGGTGGTCAGTTATGGTGCTGACCAACCACCCCCTCGTGTACAGTGCCGGCCTTCATAGGTGCTCGCTAACAGCACTTGCCCCATCAGTATGGGGGATCTTTGTCTTTAGTGTTGGGTGATGGTGGTGGTATTGGTGCAGTTTGATGCAGCTGCTCTTCACGCTGCTGTTGGAGGCAATGGAGATGTATATATGTGTGTTGAACTTCTTTCACACCATGCGGAGCCAGCCGTGCTAACCGGTGGTTATTTTGTGATTCTGCAGGAGAACTTGGTGGAGAGCAAGCACCACAAGCTGGCGCGCAGCCTCCGCTCCGGTCCATCTGACCGTGACCTCAAACCAAACGCTGCCACACGAGACCAACTCAACGTGAGAACACCTTGTCGTTCCCCCGCACCTCCGATTAGCACGGTTGGCTACGTACGGTGCGAGAGAAGTTCAACATTCATACATATGTTGCAGCGCTAGTTACGACTCAAAGGCAGGTTCTGTTAGGGGCTCACGCCGAGTTTATTAAGGGCTTACGCCTAACCAAACCACCCTAGCCTATAACTCCCCAGGGGACAGGGAACTGGGAATCCTACAACCCCGGCTAACTCGGCTCTCTTGGCCCGGGACTACCCCAACCTCGGCCGGTCGGGCGAAGTAGCCTCCCGTTGCCTCGTGTGAGGATCGCCTACCTCGAGTCCCCACTCCTACCCCCGACGAACCCCGGTTACATCCCGGGTCGCTCTTTAAATACCCCCCGGGGGACATGACGTCACCGTCTCCCCCAAGGTCCGCCTGACGTCACGTTCTGCGACGCCACTTTCTCCGAGGGCGAGCGTGACGTGACGTCACCCACAACTCCTCTACACATACAACACCTTTCGAGCAGGGTACAGCGCTTCTTAAATATGTATTTAATTTGTCCTCACAACCTCATCAAACGAAAACAAACGTCTCGCCGCTCTTCTAATGTGCACGTATGCAAGGGTGACGCTCTATTTGTTGCCGAGATACGTCTGCCACCTGGTGGATTAGCATTGAAAGAAAAATACGGCACAATTGCACTGAAATAATTTAGTTCACAGAATAATGTTCGCAGTTTCTTTACTTCTTGAAACGTCATCTTACACACAGTTTGAGTAGAGTGTGCATTATAAATGCCTGTCACCTATGATCACTTACAGCCAATGCAGTAATTTGGTTGAAGATGCCTACGATCAATCACCCAGAGTATGCCCAACCACATCAGATCACACTATCCAAGCAGGGTCGACAGCACTTGTATCGGTCTGTTGTACTATACTTCTATGCTCCTTTGTATGTTTTCACATAGCCAAGGCTGTGCGACCCAAGCTGCACGATAAAAGTTTTAAGCGTCATCAGAGTCGGACATTGTGAGTTTTATGGCTTTAGGTACCATCGCTCGATTGACGTTTCAGTAAAACGTATTGGGAGTGAAAATTTCTGCTCTGCCGTAATGATATGCTTGAAAAATAATAAAATGTTATTTGTTTCATTAACAACAAAAAAACACATTTGGCAAACCGGTACGTTGAGCCTGGGTGTGCTGTCTTACGAGATAAGAGACATTTGTTGTTTCGTGCTGTGAAAAACAAACGGCGTTTGGGGGAATAGGCTGACATTGTGAAACATATTGATGGAGTGGTTATGTTCAAGAAAGATTAGGGAAGGCATTGACTTGGGGCTTTAGGAAGAGGAGTCAGGAGTGTTACTAATGTGGGTTTTTAGCCTCACAAGTTCTGTGTGGCCACATTCGATAACTTCAAAGAGGGTGTGTTTATAAACACAGTCCCAATGTGTATCGCAGCTAAAAAAGCACAGATTGCCAATAGCTCTTTGAAGTTCAGGAGTAAACAATTAAAACAATAAAGAAATTAAAATTGCTGCTTCAAGCAGGCGGCCACTTAAACAAACAGTTACGTGAGCGTGTGTGTTTTACTGTTAAAAATGTAGATGACGTAAGCAAGGTTGCTATGATACCTGCTACAATTTAACACACACCACATCTGCCTATCCCCCATGTGTTTTGGCACATAATTGCAGCAACTTGTCAGAGACCTATTATTAAATGGGGAGTACGTGGCTCGCTTTATTACCAATTAGGGCAAACTGTTGAAATAAAACATTTCTCTCCTACATTTCTCGTGTCGCATTAATTATAAGATAGTTACAGGGACGCCTCTACTTACGAACGAGTTAGGTTCTAGAGGTCTATTCGTAAGTCGATTTGTTCGTAAGTCCAACATTACGCCTTTCGATTCCAAACATGCTGTACGGCATGTATGCTAAACACGAGAAATGGCTTTAAAAGTTGTAGAATATTCGGTAGGTATAGATGGGACTGGTTCCTAATGTTCTTGCAGATGTAGATGCCACCACCTCCATCGATTGCGCGGCGGTTGAACTTACGACTCTCGGTCGGAACAGGCAACCGGACGTACGGACAGGTTTGTATTTCTGAAGTTGGTAAGTCGAGATGTTTGTAAGTAGAGAAGTCCCTGTAATTTAGAATAGCTGCGTTACAAACCTGCCTGCTTGCCACCCTCCCCCCCCCCGACTGTCAGGTGATCAAAATGCCTGTGAAATTTTTCAAACAAAAACATTTCTCGCCTCAGATCATCGTGGGCTACCCACCGACCAAACAGCTGACCTCCGAGGAGCAAGACTTGGTGTGGAAATTCCGCTACTATCTGACCAATCAGGAGAAAGTAAGTATGGGTTGCGTTACGTGCCATGCCACAGGGTGTTCTCATAAGTGCAGCAGTGTCCTCCAAAGAACTATAAAAACTATTTTTTTTCAGGTAAGGCCCACTGAGCAATATATAGCTCTTTTTCAGAAGTGACCTGACCACGGATGATAGCTCAACAAAGTGGCTTGTCATGTGGAAATGTATAGCAGCCCAATACTCTAAACGCACATTTCTAAATGTGGAGGGGAATCCCGGAGGACCCGGAGAAAAATCCATTCGACCACGGAGAGAGAGACATGCAAACTCCAAATAATACAGCAGGCGTCTAGAGTCGGGATCGAACCCACGAACTCCTGTATACCAGGCGAAGTGGTTAACATCTCGCCACCGTGGTGGTTATATGGTTTCCTACATAAAACGGATGATTTTTTGGACCCCACCCCACTCCCTGACGCCCTATTTAAACACTTGGAAATAGCAAAACGCAACTTTATTGCCAACTGGAAAGAGCACGTCCCCTCCCCCCATCACTGCAAGTCTGGGTCAATAAATTGTCAAAAAAGAACTGCTGTAAAACATCTAAGTGCCAAAATCAAGGGACAGAGAAGAAGTATACATCACCAAACTTTTGAGGACCCTTTTACAGCCTCTTCTCCAGTGGGCATTGATTTTTAAGATCATTCATTCGGGCATTTACGCCCCCCCCCACCTACCCCTCTCCTTCACACCCGTTCCCTTTTCTTTTTCCTTCTCCTCCCCCTCTCCCCCCATCCCGTCCTTGCCCAAGAGGGTTATCCGAGCTAAGGAAGTGGACACCAGGGATGTAGAGTTTATTGAAAGACGTTGACGGGTTCACCATATAAAATGTTGGTAATAATCATCGTACGTCGCACTGTGTGTCCACACTGGTATCAATTCCTATACACGTGCCCTCTGTGTGTACTGTGAATCGCTTGTCCAATGCAAGAAAAAAACACCACTGGGGAAATGTTTGAGAGAAAAAATTGAAAGTCGCAACGCGCAAGGCCGTGTGTGGACTCATCGTTCGGTCAAATGCCACGTTGATCTTGTTTGACGCAGTGAGGAGACGAAGAGAGCTGCATCGTTAAAAATACAAGACGTTGCTAATAATTCACTATGTAACACAATTTTTGTTCCAGGTTAGCTGGTGTTATTTCGTAATTGCTTTTGCCTAAAAAGTAGAGAAAATAGCTATTATTCCCCACAAACTTTTTTTTTACGTAACTATTTTCATTGAGAAAACGGGATAATTTGTGTCTTTTCGTTTATACTAAAGTAATACAAAAAGTACTACAAAAGATTTAGAAGTGGGTAGTTTTTCGAGTCTTACGATTATACTGTAAATCAGCCCCCAAATGTAGTCTCCCATCATGTTCTCGTTATACTGTCCTTGGTAGCTGCGTTCAAAGTCCAGTATATCCTGGTGGAAGCGCTCGTCTTGCTCCTCCGAGTACGCTCCCATGTTCTCCTTGAATTTATCAAGGATATTGACTTTGACGGACATCCTACAGCCCATTGTGCCGTAGTTCTTCACCAGTCTCAACCAGCTCCACATAGTTTTCGACCATGTGATTGCCCAGGAAGCCACGAACCACTGCGACAAAGCTGTTCCAAGCTGCTTTCTCCTTGGGGAATTCATTGCACTCCAGGATCTTCTTTATCTGTGGTCCAACCAAGACACCGGCTTTGACCTTTGCCTCAGACAGCTTAGGAAAGAAGTCTTGAAGGTACTTGAAGGCTGCCCACTCCTTATCTACAGCTCTAACAAGTTGTTTCTTAAGGCCCAATTTAATGTGTAGTGGTGGCATCGGCACCTTCCGGGGGTCTACCAGTGGCTCCCACTTGACGTTGTTCCTCCCCACAGAGAACTCGGTCCACTGTGACAGCTTTCTTTTGAGCCTCGTCTCAAACGGTGTTAGACGAGGCTCAAAATAAAGCTGTCTCTGGTGTGGACCAATCAGTTTCAAGGACAATGCATAAATTATCAGAGTATGTTTTTTGTTTGCATTCTGACCACAAGCATTGTGGTTAATGCAGACATGATTCCTTGTAAAAGGTTTCAGTTTGGTTTTTTAACATCTCAGTACCTGTTTTGTTGCCAAAAAAAGGGAAAAACCAATTATCATTGTGTCTACTGGTGTCAATTCCCATACACTTGCCCTTCGTGTTTGCACTGTGAATCGTTTGTTGAGTACAATACTTTTGGGAAGAAAAAGAAAATCACTGCAAGATATTGGAGACAATTTTTTTTTTAAAGTCGCAACGCCAAAGCCATGTGGACTTTACCTCGTATGACGTGGTGAGAACTCCTGGAGGAGGGCTGCATCTCGATTTAAAGCTTTCGTGACTGCAGGGATTCATCTTCTTGGTTCTTTCGGTAAAGTCACGTAGAAGGGAAATAATAAAATAATAAAAATAAAACATAATAAAATAATTCTCACGACGTTTCGGCCACAACGCAAGCAGCCGTCCTCAGACGCTGTCTCCCCGACAGACCTGGTCTTTACCTGAGGACGGCTGCTTGCATTGTGGCCGAAACGTCGTGAGAATTATTTGATTATGTTTTATTTTTATTATTTTATTATTTCCCTTCTACGTGACTTTATCGAAAGAACCAAGAAGAGGGCTGCATTGTTCGCCACCCCGAGCAGGAGTTTCGTGTGCCATGCAGGCCAAATTTAGTACCGGACTGGATAGCATTTCCATTGGGCTGTTCTTGAATTTTCTTGTAATTCTTGTTGGTTGCAATGGTGGGGGGGGGGGTTGTTTTTTTTGACCACTTATATTGCTTTTAGGATCGGGGTTAATATAAAAGCCGGTCAGTTTACGGGTTTTGTAGGCTTTTGCGGGGCTGCCTTGCCAGCCACAAAGTTGAGCTATCATTTGTGGACAGGTTACTTCTGAAAAAATATCTATATAGCTTTGTGAACCTTTCCTACTAAAAGAAAACGTTCAGTTTAGTTTTTTTTTATTAAATGGGAAATTTAAATGCAAATGTTAAAGGACACCTCGTAAACCCACTACTCTCATCGCCCGCTCAGCCCCACGGTGCCCTCGTAAGAGAGTGTGTTTATCCGACGCGTGCAACATTGAATATGTAATCCGGATCCCCCCTGTCTGGTCAGCGTTCCCTCGAGGATGTAAATATTCCACTTGTTGTGACCGCGAAGCTTTGCGCAGGACATTGCGTGCATTCCTGCAGTGTTAGCCGTGTCCAGCATCAAAGAGGAACGTAAGAGAGAAGGGAGGGGTAAGAAGGATATAGGATTCATTGTGTTTTCGTTCTGACCAAGTTTGCTGATTTTTGTCAACTTTAATTTGTTTTAGTTTTTTTTCTCTGTCTCGCTTTTATGTTGTTATCTTTTTCTCTAAAATCAAAAGATTGATGAGATTTTAGAGAAGCTATTTTAAAAAATCTTACACTCGCCGCTGTCGTTGCGAATTTTGTTAAATGAAAAATACGTAGATGTTTATTTTCTCCCGTTATTTCGATTAAAAAAATGTTTTGCATTCTATGTTACTTTTAGAAGAAGAAAAAATCCCAATGATGTCACGGACTTTTGCGGTGTATATCACACCTTTTCACCATCATCTTCATCATCCATGGTCAATCCACTGCTGGATGACGGGGCCTCCCCAGGCCTCCGCTACCTCTCACCATCTCACCGTGCAACGGCCCACCCAGCACCTGCGTGCGAACCAACCTTCTCACTCGGTCTCCCTGGTGGGACGTGCTCTCGACGTATTTAGACGTTGGGCTTTCCCGCGAGGCCCTTGGCGCAAACGGCCCACACACTTCGCTCGCGTTTGACAAAGGTGGTGGCGGCGGTGGTGGCAGCTTGTCGTCTTGCGGGCTGGGTGGCCAGTGCTCCCGTCTTCACAACAAAGATGGGCAGTTTGGATGACTGGTATGCGGATGCAGTGTCTTTGCTGTCTTTGTGTCTGTGTTTGCTTTGGTATCCTGTTATAGCGAGAGAGAGAGAGAAAAAAACCTTTCTTGTGGTGGCGTCCTGCTTACGGAGATGGCCTTCCTTTCCTTCCCGACTTCCTCATGCTCTCCTGTTTGTTTTCCTTTACCCCTCTTGGTGGCGTTGTCATCCAACAATAACAAGCCGGGGGGGGGGGGGGGGGGGCGGGAGGGAACCATTTCGGTTTTAAGTGGGTCTGGCCGAATGGATTAATAATTTATACCCAAACGAATATCGCAATCTGAAAGTTGCGCTAGTTTAAGACGACATTGAACACGGGCGCGTGTGCGTTTACGTACGGACAGCGGTTGCCAAGCGGTTAATCTGCAGCAAATCCACTTAGCTACGAAACGCGAAGGCCCGAGTTTGATTCTCGGACCCCCAGCTAACGTCGGTGGCGAATATCGCAACGGGGTCAGCAAACAAAATAACATTTAAGAGCCATTTTTTTTCGAATTTGATTTTTTTAAAACTCTACATTTCAAGATTGGCAATGCATGTGCGTACGAGATGGTGGTCCTTAATAAATAACATCACGAAGCAGTTCCTTAAAAGAGCCGCATGCGGCTCCGGAGCAGCAGGTTTGCCGACCCCTGGTTTAGATGTTCCCACCTCTTTCAAGACGCCTGGCCAGCATGAACAGTATGAACAAATATTCTCATTCTGATTCCCATGCGTCTACTCAGCCTTAGGCATTGTGCCTCTGCGCAGTGCGTAAAGCATCCGCACGACGGAGACAAAGGCGGCCGAGCGCGGTTCTGGCGACGCCACCCCCCTCGTGTGCCATTGCAGGCTTCGTAGGAGCTCTCCAACAGCACTTAGCCCTACAGCTTATGTAGGCTATATGTGGATCTTTGTATATTTCTGTATAAGCCCAAATTAGCAATGCAGCGGTGCTTAATTTCTATTTTCAGCCCTTAGCCAACGGTTTGAAATTCCACATTACCATGGCGTCCGCCCATGGAATGCGGATGACGATCCACTTTGTTCCGCTTTGTTGGCTGTCTTATGAGTATTTCTACTCGGCAC